CTTTTTTTGAAATATGTGGGTTAACCCCTATGACAAAATTAAATTTTCCGAAAATCTCTACTTTCTAGAGAAATGGGAACATATAAGGTCTAAAACCTCTTTAATCTTCATACTATTTCAGTTAATGATGCAAATATGCATTAAAACAAAAATAAAAAAATTTCTAATTTTTCTCGAAATATGTGGGTTAACCCCTACGAAAAAATTGAATTTTTCAAAAAATGCTTTCTTTGAGTTTTAGGCATTTCAGTGTTGTTTAAAAATATTAAACCACACTCTAAATGTATATTAATGTATGCTAAACATATTTCAATGGTACAAGGTCATCATTTCTAACTTCCCAACGAGTAACTTATTTAAATTTCATATACGATCTAATTAGTGTCTTAACCCCTATAAAATCTCTATTTTCTAGAGAAATGGCAACACTTAAAGGCTCAAACCTCTTTAATATTCATACTAAACTAGAGAATGTTGAAAATATGCATTATAACAAAAACATGAAATTTTCTAAATTTTCTTGAAATATGTGGGTTAACCCCTATGAAAATATTGAATTTTCCGAAAAAATGCTTTCTTTTATTTTTAGANCCCTATAAAATCTCTATTTTCTAGAGAAATGGCAACACTTAAAGGCTCAAACCTCTTTAATATTCATACTAAACTAGAGAATGTTGAAAATATGCATTATAACAAAAACATGAAATTTTCTAAATTTTCTTGAAATATGTGGGTTAACCCCTATGAAAATATTGAATTTTCCGAAAAAATGCTTTCTTTTATTTTTAGACATTTTAGTGTTGTTTCAAAATATTAAACCACACTCTAAATTTTCTTGAAATATCTAGGTTAACCCCTATGAAAATACTGAATTTTTCGAAAAATGTTTTCTTTGATTTTTAAACATATTAGTGTTGTTAAAAAATATTAAACTACACTCTAAATTTAGATTAATGTATGCTAAAGATATTTTCATGGTACCTGGTCATCATTTCTAATTTCCCAACAAGTAATTTATTTACACTTCGTAGACGATCTAATTAGTGTTCTAACCCCTATAAATCTCTATTTTCAAGAGAAATGGCAACACATAAAATCTCACACCTCTTTAATTTTCATATTATGTCAAATAATGATGCAAATATGCAATAAAACAAAAATAAAAAAAATTCTAATTTTTTTTTGAAATATGTGGGTTAACCCCTATGACAAAATTAAATTTTCCGAAAATCTCTACTTTCTAGAGAAATGGGAACATATAAGGTCCAAAACCTCTTTAATCTTCATACTATTTCAGTTAATGATGCAAATATGCATTAAAACAAAAATAAAAAAATTTCTAATTTTTCTCGAAATATGTGGGTTAACCCCTACGAAAAAATTGAATTTTTCAAAAAATGCTTTCTTTGAGTTTTAGACATTTCAGTGTTGTTTAAAAATATTAAACCACACTCTAAATGTATATTAATGTATGCTAAACATATTTCAATGGTACAAGGTCATCATTTCTAACTTCCCAATGAGTAACTTATTTAAATTTCATATACGATCTAATTAGTGTCCTAACCCCTATAAAATCTCTATTTTAATGAGAAATGGCAACACTTAAAGGCTCAAACCTTTTTAATCTTAATACTAAGATAGAGAATGTTGCAAATATGCATTATAAAAAAACATTAAATTTTCTTGAAATATGTGGGTTAACCTCTATGAAAAAAATTTGAATTTTCCGAAAAATGTTTTCTTTGATTTGTAGACATATTAGTGTTGTTTAAAAATATTAAACCACACTATAAATGTATATTTATGTATTCTAAACATATTTTCATGGTACATGGTCATCATTTCTAATTTCCCAAGAAGTAATTTATTTACACTTCATAGACGATCTAATTAGTGTCCTAACCCCTATAAATCTTTATTTTCTAGAGAAATGACAACACTTAAAGGCTTAAACCTCTTTAATCTTCATACTAAGCTATAGATTGTTGCAAATATGCATTATAACAAAAACATGAAGTTTTCTAAATTTTCTTGAAATATGTGGGTTAACCCCTATGAAACAATTGAATTTTCCGAAAATTGCTTTCTCTGATTTTTAAACATTTTAGTGTTGTTTAAAAATATTAAACCACACTCTAAATGTAAATTAATGTATACTCAACATATTTTAATGGTACATGAACATCATTTCTAACTTCCAAACGAGTAACTTATTTAAACTTCATATACCATCTAATTAGGGTCCTAACCCCTATAAATCTCCATTTTCTAGAGAAATGGGAACACATAAGGTCTAAAACCTCTTTAATCTTCATACTATGTCAGTTAATGGTGCAAATATGCATTAAAACAAAAATAAAAAAATTCTAATTTTTCTCGAAATATGTGGTTAACCCCTATGAAAAAAATGAATTTTTCAAAAAATGCTTTCTTTGATTTTTAGACATTTTAGTGTTGTTTAAAAATATTAAACCACACTCTAAATGTATATTAATGTATTCTAAACATATTTCAATGGTACAAGGTCATCATTTCTAACTTTCCAACGAGTAACTTATTTAAATTTCATATACGATCTAATTAGTGTCATAACCCCTATAAAATATCTATTTTCTAGAGAAATGGCAACACTTAAAGGCTCAAACCTCTTTAATCTTCATACTAAGCTAGAGAATGTTGCAAATATGCATTATAACAAAAACATGATATTTTCTAAATTTTCTTGAAATATGTGGGTTAACCCCTATGAAAAAATTGAATTTTCTAAAAAATGCTTTCTTTGATTTTTAGACATTTTAGTGTTGTTTAAATATATTAAACCACACTCTCAATGTAGATTAATGTATATTAAATATATTTTCATGGTACATGGTCATCATTTCTAACTTCCTAACGAATAATTTATTTTAACTTCATATACGATCTAATTAGTGTTTTAGCCCCTATAAAATCTCTATTTTCTAGAGAAATGGGAACACATAAGGTCTAACTCCTCTTTAATCTTCATACTATGTCACCTCATAATGAAAATATGCATTAAAACAAAAATAAAAAAAAAATTCTAATTTTTCTCGAAATATGTGGGTTAACCCCTATGAAAAAATTTAATTTTCCGAAAATTTCTTTCTTTGATTTTTAAACATTTTCATGTTGTTTAAAAATATTAAAACACACTCTAAATGTAGATTAATGTATGCTAAAGATATTTTCATGGTACATGGTCATCATTTCTAACTTCCCAACAAGTAATTTATCTAAACTTCATATACGATCTAATTAGTTTCCTAACCCCTATAAAATCTCTATTTTCTAGAGAAATGGTACCACTTAAAGGCTCAAACCTCTTTAATCTTCATACTATGTCAGTTATTGATGCAAATATGCATTAAAACAAAAATAAAAAAATTTATAATTTTTCTTGAAATATGGGGGTAAACCCCTATGAAAAAATTGAATTTTCTGAAAAATGCTTTCTTTGATTTTTAGACATTTTAATGTTGTTTAAAAATATTAAACCACACTATAAATGTATATTAATGTATGCTAAACATATTTTAATGGTACATGGTCATTATTTCTAACTTCCCAACGAGTAACTTATTTAAACTTCATATACGATTTAAGTGTCCTAACCCCTATAAAATCTCTATTTTCTAGAGAAATGGCAACACTTAAAGGCTCAAACCTCTTTAATCTTCATACTAAACTAGAGAATGTTGCAAATATGCATTATAACAAAAACATGAAATTTTCTAAATTTTTCTTGAAATATGTGGGTTAACCCCTATGAAAATATTGAATTTTCCAAAAAATGCTTTCTTTTATTTTTAGACATTTTAGTGTTGTTTCAAAATATTAAACCACACTCTAAATTTTTATTAATGTATGTTAAACATATTTCATTGGTACATGGTCATCATTTCAAACTTCCCAACGAGTAATTTATTTAAACTTCATATACGATCTAATTTGTGTTCTAACCCCTATAAAATCTCTATAATCTAGAAAAATGGCAACACTTAAAGGCTCAAACCTCTTTAATCTTCATACTAAGCTAGAGAATGTTTCAAATATGCATTATAACAAAAGCATGAAATTTTCTAAATTTTCTTGTTATATGTGGGTTGATTTTGAAAAAATTGAATTTTTCGAAAAATGCTTTCTTTGATTTTGAAACATTTTAGTGTTGCATAAAAATATTAAACTACACTCTAAATTTATACTAATGTATGCTAAATATATTTTCATGGTACATGGTCATCATTTCTAATTTCCCAATGAGTAATTTATTTACACTTCATAGACGATCTAATTACTGTCCTAACCCCAATAAATCTATATTTTCAAGAGAAATGGCAACACATAAAGTCTCACACCTCTTTAATATTCATACTATGTCGGTTCATGGTGAAAATATGCATTAAAACAAAAATAAATAAAAATCTAATTTTTTTTGAAATATGTGGGTTAACCCCTATGAAAAAATTGAATTTTCCGAAAATCTCTACTTTCTAGAAAAATGGGAGCACATAAGGTCTAAAACTTTTTTAATCTTCATACTATGTCAGTTAATGATGCAAAAATGCATTAAAACAAAAATAAAAAAAATTCTAATTTTTTTTGAAATATGTGGGTTAACCCCTATGAAAAAATTGAATTTTCTGAAAAATGCTTTCTTTGATTTTTAGACATTTTAGTGTTGTTTAAAATATTAAATCACACTCTAAATGTATATTAATGTATGCTAAACATATTTTAATGGTACATGGTCATTATTTCTAACTTCCCAACGAGTAACTTATTTAAACTTCATATACGATCTAATTAGTGTCCTAACCCCTATAAAATCTCTATTTTCTAGAGAAATGGCAATACTTAAAGGCTCAAGCCTCTTTAATCTTCATACTAAGTTATAGAATGTTGCAAATATGCATTATAACAAAAACATGAAGTTTTCTAAATTTTCTTGAAATATGTAAATGACTCGGGAGATATACCATGACAGTAACTTATATCAAGATTCTTAAGCTTTGGGCAGTTCGAGGCTATCATCATAATTGATGCATCTGTAACGTTGGGGCAGCTCTTAATACAAAGAATCTCTAGATTAGGACACCTGCTAACGAAACTCTACATCAATAACTATATGTTCATGCAAAAGTGACCAAGGCCGGCCCTGGGGCATGCCTAATGAAACATTCGCTTCAGTCCTCCATAAATTTTGAAGAAAATTACATGAATATAGACCCCAAAGAAAAAATTTTAGACACCCAAAACTTTTTTTTACATAGAAATTGTCAAAATTTCAGAGCCGACCCTATGCAAAACTAACCTCTAATGAATCAAACATAACATACCTTTCAGCAACGTAAGATATAGAGCGATCAGAACAGTGCCTGACCTGAATCTCCTTAAGACCTCCTTCGCTCCAATCCACTACAGATCGGAGAATGGAGTCCACTTTTTCTTCAAACTCGGGACTCCACCAGCTGATCGATTCGGGGATTGACGAAAACTGAGTTTCAAGGTCGAAGACCGAGTTAAGCAACGGATCTTGGCATGCGTGCATCCAGGTCTTGCAGACGAGCATCGGTCCGAGCCATCCAGGTTTGGCCTTCAACATAGATCCTGATATGAAGTACTTTGAGCACATTGTTCCTTGTGGGATTGCTGATAAAGAAGTTACATCTCTGAGAAGAGAGACGGATGCTCAGCTTCCGTCTGAAGAAGTGATTCATGAGCAGTTGGTTACCTCTTTGGCCAAAGTGTTTTCATATGATGCTGTTGTGTGGAAGGATGATCCTTCAGCCATTTTGGACACCCTGGAGGATAACAACTAATAGCACATTCATGTAAGTTATCTTTCAATGCATTGAATTTGAGATTTGTAACACTTTTTATATCATTTGTAAACATTTCTTCATCACAATCATGCAAAATTATTTAAAAGTCAAATCAACAGTAGTTTAAAGTGTTCAAACCAAATACAAGAAGTAACACAAATGTTCACACCAAACAAAAAGAAACACAATATGTAACTTCAGAATTTGGAGAAAAACTTGTCCATCGTTTTTGTTAAATAAGAATCCAAACGACGGAGAAGAGAACGATTCCGTGCTAATGCTAGCGTGCCCCCTCTAAGCGGACCACTCCAGACTGTGCGCGAGTGTATCTTGATCTCCTTTAAAAATTTCAAGCTCCGTTTACATTCAGTTATATGACAGCGTGCCAAACACATACACCCGTATAAGTCCAGGTACTCTAGATTGGAACATCCTTGGCAAATCAACGCAAGACCTTCAGCATCCAACTCAGAGCTTCGAAGCTCCAGGTGTTTCAGCTGAGGCATAAGTCTCCCAATTATTTCAGCCTCCATGTTCCCGTTTCGAGGCATACTACTCAGATACTCGCGTGGCATGTACTGGGGAGGATGATCTAACCAGCTATGTAGATTCCATTTCAGGATCTCAATGTTTTTGCAGTTCATGGCCACAACTTTTAATGACTCGGGAGATATACCATGACAGTAACTTGTATCAAGATTCTTAAGCTTTGGGCAGTTCGAGGCTATCATCATAATTGATTCATCTGTAACGTTGGGGCAAGTCTTAATACAAAGAATCTCTAGATTAGGACACCTGCAAACGAAACACGAACATCACTTAAACTCATGTCGTTAAGAATCAATAACTATCTGTTCATGCAACTAACCTCCATTGAGTCAAATGATAACATACCTCTCAGCAACGTAAGATATAGAGCGATCTGAACAGTGCCTGACCTGAATCTCCTTAAGACCTCCTTCGCTCCAATCGACTACAGATTGGATAATCGAGTCGACCTTTGCCTCAAACTCGGGACTCCACCTGCTGGCCGATGGGGGAGTCGACAGAAACTGAGTTTCAAGGTCGACGACAGAGTTGAGCAACGGATCTTGGCATGCGTGCATCCAGGTCTTGCAGACGAGCATCGGTCCGAGCCATCTTTGTTCCAGACTCAGCCGTGTCATTATCTTGATGAGACATTCCCGAGTCAACTCTGTCCAGTTAGGGATGAGTCCCGATGATCCCATCTCTTCCTTTTCTTCCTCTTTGTTGACTACTTCCATTAGATCGTGGAGAGCTTTAGACTTCTTCTTGTTTACTTTTTCGTTGTTTCCCGCCTTTTATAGTTGATGAGTTTTGGACAGTTTCTTGTTAATGAAGTTACAGACTGTATCTAAAGTCAAAACACGAATAGGACAATTTTTTGTTTAATTAAAATGAATATGAAATATAAAGGAGAAATATTTATAAAATTTCAAAACTACAAGAGAAGTTTAGTTTATTTTTTTTTTTTGATAAATCATATCGGTTGATCCGGTCGGTTCGAGAAGATCACACTAAGTGCTAAAGACTGGATTGACTACCATATAGAATATCTTCCGACTAATGTCAAGGGGTGAACCGAACGATTCATCATAGAACCCAAGTGTGGTTTGATACTACGTAATATACATTAAATTACTAACCAGAAGAAGAAATTTTTCTTTTGTTAAATAAACGAAGATCAAGTCTATGGCCGAACAAATGGGGTTTGAGAAAATTGTGTTTATATTAAAAACAAACCACAAAGAAGCCTATAATTGCTCATAACCGGAAGATCAGAACTGAGACCGCGATGGAAGTGATGACCATATATATATATATATATATGAAGTTTGTGTCGTATGATTTGTGAGGTGTTCATTTATTCTCTCTAACGTTTGTATAATATCAAGAGTGCTTATCTTCTACAAAAGTTACGATGCATTCGTTGATGCTTTCATCAAAACTAGCCGAAGTTCTGATCTATGGAGGGAAAACGGCAAGGAGTTATCCACTCTGCAGGGCATTCGTTTCAGCGTCAAGGCCCTTGCAAGTAAGAACAAATTGATATGTGTCTCAATTAACAGCTTTATTTAACAGGAGTTGTAGCCATGACTACATAGAAAGAAAAAATTAAAGTTTAATACAATGGAAAAAAACTCATGATCTTTTGAAAACTGTGTTTTTATAACAAACAAAAACTTATATTCCAATAGCATACAAATTTTATAAAACTATAAGATGTAATATGTTGATATCAAATTAGTACATATATGGTTTGATTGGTAACTCTTATAACGATTATATAGGATCATGCAAAACTCCGGTTTTATGTAAGATTAATAACAGGAATACAACAAAGTTCATCATTTCACAGAAATTTTCATTGTATTCACATACTAATGAATTCGCAATTCTTCAATGCTTACCAAAATCAGAACCCTAAAGAAAATTGCTAAAATTTAGGCATATAGGGTAGAGAGTTTCTCATCATATGGTCATACAATATGTTACATACCTTATATATGTGATTGATTATGGTAAATGAAAAAGGGAAAAGAAGAGGCAGAGCAATGCCAAAAGGTGAAAGAAGCAGCTGAGGCAGTGAAGGAAGGAGCGCAGGCGGTGAAGGAAACCACCGAGTATATCCATGATGTCGCTTCTACTACGGCTAACCGTGTAACTAATCAATTCACATTTTATGATTTGATTATCCTAATTACCTATATATATAATTTGATGATTATAGCATTCATAGTAAATTGATTTGGTTATCAGGTGAGTAAGATGACAAAGGATGTGACCGAGAAAGTTACTGAGACAACGGATTCTATCACTGAGAAAGCTAAAGGATCTGTATCTGGAGTTTTGGGCACAGCCAAAAACGCTACTGATATGATCAAAAATAAAATTCTTGGTGGTGATTAGTTAAATACTTATACTACTTGGAAATACTTAATATGTTATGTATGTTTCACAATAAACTTAGTATTCAATATATTTGTAAACTTTGTTTGGCAATGATCAGGATCTATGATATTTCTGATTAATTATAAATTAGATCCGTCTAGCTTTGATTTTATTTTCTTATACAAGTTATTATTTTTCTTAATAGCAGAAAATCAAAAAAAAAGCTGAACTGATAGATTGACCTAAATACAAAGTTACAAACCATGTATCTTTTGAAAAACATCTGGACTAAGTACACACTCTACCTCAGCTTTTGTAGCATAATAATGGCAAATACGATGTATGGTCTCCATGAAGATGATTGATACTTATGTTGGAAGGAAGCATAAAGAGACTTATGTTAATTGATTTGGTTGAGTAAAGCTGTAAAGTTAATTACTGAAATGTTTTTTAAAATGATGAATGTGGTATCCACCGCTGTAGAATAATCAAAATGTTAAGTGAGACTGTATCGATATTTATGTTCTAAAGAGTTGTTATAAACGTAATTTTTATTTATATCTTTGTATATGTGGATAAGTTTATACAAAATTTAGTATTCTTAAAAGCCTACATCGCTTTAAGTTGTAGATAATATATGCTTTAATTTGTCTTTAATTAGTTGTAGATAATCATAATTAGTCTCAACAAAACCTTAATAATGGTGAAAATAAAAAGTTATCATTATCTGTCGGAACATTTCACCTGTGCTTCTATACTTCTTTTTGTCATGTGTGAGCACATGGATCCGATTAAGCGTGTTTAATCTTCTCTTGCTTTTCATGTTAAGGATCAACTTTCCAATGCAAAAAGCTTAATAAAAATAGATATGCTATTTTTTTCTTCCCACCTAAAGATATGCTTTAAAAGGAAAAGGAATACGTGTTAATCAATATTATATAGACTAGGTTTAAGATTTATACAGATTCAGTGATTCACTAACACTTATCACGGTCTCAGTAAATTATAATACAAACTACTATTAACTAGCTTTTTTTTTTACTAATTTGTATTTTGTCTGATGCATAAACAGTTTGAAAACATTTTTTTTCCTAGAGGTTAACGTGGTAGGAGGCAAACTAAAACATTTGCGGGTGATATATAGCTGGCTATTCGAATCTGTCGCAATTAAACCTTTTCTAGTGCTATCATATTAACATCCATGTAAAGTTTTTTTTTTTATAAACCGCCAATTAGTATTGGTTGCTTGCTTCTAAAGCTAAAAGGTACCAATCATGACAAGTTACAACAACATGGGGAAATAAAGCTAACAAATCCAGCGAACAAAGAAAAGTAGAAAGATTCACAAATCATTTAGACCCTATATTAAATTATAGACTTCAAGAAATACACAAAAGATACAACAACAACAAAAAAAGAACAAGACATTATATCCTTGTTTTTTTTCTTGGTAAATGACAAGTGACAAAGGAAGAACAACCTGAGTTTATCAGACAGAACCAACAACAACACTTCGGGAGTTTCTCTTTTACATGAAAGGTTGATTTGTTTCCCTTTACTTGTGTTATCTTGCGGTTGAAGCAAGCAAACCCGAGGTTGAGAAAAATCGACACAAAAACACACACACACACACATTGAAAAAAAAAGATAATTGGCTTTTAAATGACAAATGTGTGAAAATGTACACTTTTGTCTAAATATAATTGAAGATGGTTTTGAATTTTTGGTGGGTAATGGTGTTGGGAGGTGGTTAAGAAACAACTATGAGGTACATTGACGTCCTCTGCGACAAGGTAGAGCTCCAGCGTCATTAGTAATGGTTGCAACCAATGAAGAAGATTTAGCAGCGAGACTAGAAGCACGTGCGTAGCTACCAGATGCAGCGGCTCCTGAAGCAGTGAAGTAAGCTCCATTCTGAAGCAAATCTCCTTCTGATCTCCAGTTCCATCCTTTCCAATTACTCGTTGGTGTGTCCACTCTCTTAGTCACCTATTCAAAATGTTCAACATCATTAATGTCACCAGGACCGGTCCTGAGATTTTGGAGGCCTAAAAAGAATTTTTGGGACCTATACTCATGTAATTTTCTTAGTTTTGGGGGCCCGACGCGAATGTTTCACTAGGTCACACACTAACAGTCACAAAATAATAAATTTTGATTAGGTTGCTACCTCTTTAGCAAATGGGTTTTTAGGAGCAGCGTAGCGGTTTCCTTGACTGTTGATTGTAGGGTTTGCGCTTCCACCAATGGCATACATTTCCCAGTGAGTGTAGTCATTGTTCACTACATGGAAGTATCCGTGTCGACACCTGCAAGAATATTGGTTAGAAAAACAAATAATAAAAACAGAGTAAAACAGAGTAAAACAGAGTAAACAGAGCATACTCTGTTTTTTTGTTCTGTTTTTAGACATATACCTAGGCATTCTTTGAATAAGTCCAACTCCAAAATGGTTATAAGCAATAGTAACTTGCATAGCTTTATCCCTCGTGTAAGAATCACTATGTCCAAGCAACATAACCTCGTTGTGATGAGTCATATGGTTGTTAGAGATGGTAATCGCGGTCGAGCCCATAACAGCATCCACAAGCCCATCAGCGCAATGAGACAACGAGTTATGATCAATCCAAACATGACTCGAACCAAAGATCGAAATCGCGTCACCATCAGCCATCGTTCTCCACCCAAAATGCGTCTCCGAGCTTCTCACCATAGCGTTACCCGTAGGTTTACAGTCATGAATATGCAACCCATGCACGATCACGTTAGTCACGTACTGAATCGTGATGCAACCGCCGTTTGCGATGTGAACGTTCGCGCCGCGTCCGTCTATCGTTTTGAAGCTGTTGACGATTAGTTCTTGTTTTAATTGGATCACCATGTCGCGTTTGAAAACGATCCATAGTGGTCGGTCTTGGATCACGGCGTGACGTAGTGTTCCCGGTCTAGGGTTAACCGGGTTGTCGTCGTTTGGGTCAGTGACTACGTAGAAACGCCCGTCGCGGCCACCAATCGCGTTTCTTCCGAATCCGATTCCACAGTCCGCTAGGCGTTTGCGGTTCTTGTGCCAGTTGCGGTCGCAACGCCAACAGTCGTCGATTGGGTTGCCTGTTCCGCAAGTAAAGTAACCTAGCTTCCTCCTCTCGGTATGGTTTCTTACACTCCTGCATAATCATAATCAAACCCGGTTTAGTTGGTTTCATTTTATTTTCTTAAATCTCCAAAAACTTAAAATAAATTATTAAAAAAAAAATCAGAACATGTGCACATGACATTGTTGATATAAATAGTATTTTTAGACTTTTTTCATAGACGTGTGTCGGTGGGATTAGGTTCACTGGCTAAGATTCTTGAAGCAGACGACGTTACAGAGAACCGTTAAATAAGGCCAAACAAAAAAAATATTGCCGTTGGATACCGACGTTCAAATCCGTCCGTTTTAACGGATACCGTTTTGGGATCTTATGGGTTTTTTGACCGTATAAAGTGTACATTGTTCTGTTACGACCACATGGGAACTGATCCAAAATAATTAAATATTTTATTTTCAAAACCTTTTTAAATATACAAGAGAAATATGTAACAAAAAAGGAAATATGGTTGGTTAATAAATAAATAAAAAATTTGTACGTATTTTGAAAGTAAATGTTAACGAATTCGCAGTGTGTACTCAGCCGTATACAGATGGTTGGTGATGTGAAAGATAATTTATTTTTATGGGATGCATGGATATATATATAGATGCAATAATGCGTTGGACACGGATCTGCCTAGCATTAGTTAGTGCATGTGGTGTTTTGCAGTGAAAACTGTCTGCTAGAAGTATTAGTTCAACAACAATTGACAAGAAATAGAAAAAAACTGAGAGTTATTATGGATACTATTAAAATGTAATAGAATACTACATTGAGAAAGAATATAATGAAATATAAATATTAGAATTTCAATGCATGAAAGATGTAGTAGGTGATAAAAATATGTATACTTTTTTCAGAGAACGATTAAAAAGGAAAGAAAAGGCACAATAAATATCTCGTTTCATAAAAAAATACTTAATAGATATCATACTTTTAAAATGAGCCTGACAGAAATAATTAATGGCAAATGTTCACGGGAATAGATCTCACTGGTAGCAGGAATAAATTAATCATCAAACACTATTTTTGCCATAGTAGTTTATAAATAGTGTGAATATGGGGTTAGGATTAAATTAGTTAGAGAGGAAAATAAATGTGACAGCTTGGTATGATGGATCTTGCTTGTTCCAACAATAGAATGAAACAAAAGTCACAACACTATTGTAAATAAATAGTTAGTACTCATTGGACCCATACCCAATACTATTGAATTTCTATGACTTTTCCCCCTACAACTTTATACTATACTTTTCACATGATAATTTTGAGATATATTAACTTACATATCAGCCAAGGCGATAACTTCATCCGCTATTTCATCTGGATTCGTCACTGCGTGCTCGTTCCATTCATTTTCGCCCGATCTACAAAATTGAGAATCTAGAGAAAATTAATGATTGACAATGTAGTAATGTTTTAAATATATTTAATCATTGGAGAATGCACACACTACACTGCTCCATAAAATTCGCTATACGGAGAAACCGTTAAATCTTTCAGACATAACTATCGAACGACGAAACTAACCCTATTGAAAAAATCGCTACCGGGCGTCTTGAGTAGCCATTCACTAGGGCAGAACGGTAAATTACAACAGAGTCAAGTGTCGTTGACTCATGAGTGTACGTAATGAAACTAAAAAGGCAGAATGTACGGTTTAGATCGTTGGATCTGGATCACAACATAAAATCCAACGGCGCAGTTTATTTATTAAAGAATTCTCGAGCTAGTATTGTAGTAGAGATCGAAAAGGCAAAAACAAAAACTATTTTCTCAATGTTGCTAATTTTGTCGGTTGAACAAGAACTAGAACAGTGAAAATGAATGATTCTTATTGTTATATTTTGGATCTTTATAGTTTATAATATGGCGAGAATGTAG